AAATGGAGAGAGAAATAGAGCAGACGAGGAGAGGCAGTGAGAGTGAAGAGAGAGGAGGTGGGGGCAGAGGCGGTCTGTTATTCTCCTCGGTGCTACAGCCAGAGAGAGAGAGAGAGAGACAGAGGTAGAGAGAGACATACACTTGCTCGTCCACAGTGGTGGGCAGATGTAGAGCAAGCAAGCAGGATCGAGAAAGAGGGAAAAAGATAGATGAGAGTAATGCAGCGGGAGGCATGGGGAGTCCAAACACATTGCTCTACACAAGGTAAAGACCATCATTTCATTCCTCTCTACCTCTCTCAGCTTTTTTCTCATTTCTCTTTTGTTCCTCTCTGTCTTTATGTTTCTTTCACCCCTGCTTCACTGCTAAGAAATGCTGCTTAACTGCTGCAGCTGTTTTTCTGTTGTGCGTATGTGTGTGTGATAGGAAAAGTATCTGCAATTGGTACAGTATGCTGACTACTTTGGGATGAGAACAATATATGTCAGTTGTGTGTGTGCATTATTTGAGTAAACGAATGTGTGTAGATGACTAAAAATTCAGTTAGGAGCAGATTCACACTCTATATGTGATGCAGCTGGTTTTGGTCATAGAGAATATTCTTTATATGACTGCACATGTGGTCACACACACACCCTCAAATACGCTCTCCTATTGCCCAATCAGCCAGTATATTGGTAGTGTTGGATTCTAGGCAAGACAGAGCTTAGAGGAAATCATTTCCACAGTGGACTGAGATCAATTCTCTGCAGCATTGCATACAGACCGGGCAGCTGGAAGAATGCAGAGTTTTACAATATCCACCCTCAGCTGTGGATTTGGATAAGCCAATAATAGTGTGATATTTTTAAGCTTTTTTGACAGTTGTTTCTTATATAATGACTGTGTATATGAAAAATGATTTTTGACTGTGACCACTATCCCTAGGAATGATGTTATTAATTACATCCAGTGCCAATGATCAGGGCTAATGCAGGAAGTAATCTGTCCTTCATGTAGCAAGGTGGAAAGTAAGAGTGTAGAGATTGAGGTGGCAGATGAGCATGACTGACTTTCACATAGGACACCAGAGTAACTGTGATCTTTGCTTTTTTGTTTGTTTTAGTACCTATCCTAAATCATACCTTAATCATAGACTATTTGCCAATAACCATGGTCTTTTTCTAATCCTAACCATACTGTAGTGTCTGCGTTTTGTCAAATTGTCTAGTAGTAAAGTTCTTGTATGGCAAAATCACTTCATAGTCTGGGATTGTTAACTGGGGGCTTCTTTTGGAAATAAGTCTTAACGACTTCACTGATGCCCTGAGTGTGTCGTGCCAGCAGCAGTACAGAGGCTTCACTTATCCAGTCAAGGGTCTGAAGCCTATATCCGCATGTATTCTAGAGCAGCTGGGATCACCCAAAACAGGTCTTCTTTATCTAAAAAAAGCCATGAATGTAAAACACATTACATTATATTGACACACTATCAAAATAGTAACAGATGCATTGACTGAAACATTAAACTGATTTCTCAGAGAACGTCAGTGAGCCTCACAGGAAAGCCCAGGCCAAATAATGTGAAGTGAAGAATCATTATGGGCAATGAGAGCACACCAAGTTATCATGCTGTGGATCAGAAACTGTGACAAGTATGATATTTTAAGAAGCGTAGTCACATTTAATTTATTTATGTATTTTTCCATTTCAAACCAGGGCTTAAGTCACAAATCTGAGAAATGTTTAGGCACAATAAATACAGGTACAGATACATATATTCAAAAATGTTTATTAAACAAACAGGTTATAGAACAATGAAAGCAAGACAAAATTATTTATCTGATGTATTACATTAGATGGTCTTCTATACACTGAAAGCACTTTACACTATTTGGTGGTTATGACCTGGTTATGAACTGGTGTTTCTAGCACTGCTGGCAGTCAAGCCAATAAAACATTTGTTTGACAGGGATTGCTGTGACATTTGCCACCAAGTCTGGATTAAAGCTACTGGGAGTATGGACAAGTAAACCACACTTCCAATCCAGGGAAGTTCTAATTATTCTTGTCAAGTTAATTAATGTCCTGCGTGAACATTTCTGTAACTTCACTAGTCAGCTGTGCAGAGGTTCTCTCAAGCTCCCTGTTTTTGTTTTTTACACTCACTATTTCTGTCATTTTTCACATATACAAGCAAGTGCAACATTGTGACAGTCTACAGAGACAGATTGTCTAAAACTGTTAATATACCCAGGTGCGTCTCCCACCTTTCTTTTACAGCTGGCTCCCCTTCACTCACCTTCAAATGTGACCACTGAGAATAGCTATTAACCTATAAACACCTAAGGTTGACCAACACTTTATATGAACTAGTTCTGTTCCAGAGCAACCTGGCCCTCAGTATTCATCATCTGGGGGCTATGAATGGTGGGCCATTAAGTAACATTTTATATACATCTATCTGAACCAAAAAGGTGGCCCAAGCAACAGTTATTTCTATCCCTGGAGCCACACAGCTTGCATTTGAGACAGATTTATTAGAACAAAAATGATAACCAAAAGAAACAGGGCTGAAGGATAAACATAAAGTATAATAATTATACTATTGCTACTAAAAGAAAAAAGGGAGAAATTTAGTATAAGGAAACAGATGTTCAGCATTTAAATGTGACTATGACTGATTTGTGCTGACATTCCTTTAAGATATGTAGGAGTAATTCACTGCTGCTGCTGCTGCTGCTGTTTTCAATAATAAAGCTGAAAGAATTAAACACGATACCACAGATTTCTAAGAGCAGACCAACATCTACCGGACAGACTTGTCTGTTTACACTAAAAGACTTATGAATATAAAACGAGTACAATGACAAAAGTTGTCATGTGGCTCCCATCTGACTCACATTCTGCGAGCATTCAGCAACACTGAATGACCATGTCAGCTCTGACACATAAAGTCACAACTAATAAGGTTTGTAATGGCACACATGCTCTTAAGGTTTTGTTATTTTATGTGCTGTAATGTTTTATTATGTTTCATTATATTTATTTTATTGTATGGACAGACTGACTGATGGCTGCAGTTAAATGTGCTATAACTAATTTAGGTATATGTTATAAGCAGCAAGGGAAGAAGTACTTAGATTGTTTACTTAAGTAAAACTAGCAATACAACAGTGTAAAAATACTCCATTACAAGTAAAAGACCTGCATTCAAAAGGTTCAAATGTATTGGCAGAAAATATACTTGATGAATGACACTTTATTATAGACTCAAGGTCCAAATTAGAACAAAAAGAACAGTGAAAAGAAACAATATAAAATAAAATAAAAACGAGAACAAGAGAACAACCATAAACTACTATTCCTTTAAAAGGCAGGCATACCACTGTTTCCAGAGAGCAGAAGTAAAACGCATGTCACTGTATGCAACATTAGTCAACAATAAAATATGATTTTCAGAACCTTTCAAGCGACAGATACATTTAAACATCAAATTTCTTAAAACAGTGGGAAATGTACTAATTCGAGATGACACGAACAGTTCGCTAGCACTCGTCCATCTAGGCTTGTTCAATAATAGCCTTAGGGCGTCATAGTAAGCCACTTTAGTTTCCGAAGACTGCCCTTTTTATAATTACACCACAAATGGGCAGTGTACAAGGAGGTACAATAAGCTTTAAACAAAGCCAGTTTTACTCCAACCGAGCATGAACCAAATTTCTGTGCCAGTATATTAGCTTGTACATACAACATACGGCACTGCCGATAGATATCCTCGTCATAGGACAATCATTTATGACATGACCCAAATACTTAACTTCATTACACAGTTGGAAAGACAAGCTGCAGTAATCAGAATCTCTATATCAACATTAGATCCAATAACTGTGTAATGTTAACGAAGTCACTCGAGGTCATGGATCCGCAGGCAATTATCACCCAACTCACTCTTTCTCCGAGTTTCTTCCCTGAGTGATGACCCCGGTGAACTCCACCTCTCTGCGGGCATCAACCTCGAACCAGTGGGTTTTGTCCTCTGGATCTGCGCACCAACCGCCGCCGTTCAGGTCATTGTCATCGTCGGAGCCCTGCAGACGAGCACAGGCCAATTATGTGAACCAAATGTTTGTTGCTGTGGGAGCAGAGCCCTGGTTTTCCTCACGACATGCTCTACCTGCATGTTGAGGCGTCCTCTCTGAACCGTGAAGCCATGGTGAGACTGAGAGGAAGCCAGCAGCTGGTCATCTTCAACCCGGTGAGACTCCAGGCCCAGAGGAGGACACTCTGAAAGGAAGCACACACACAAAGATCTGTCCCACAAATGTTCCAGAGAGACTTTAATTCCAAACACGCCTTGACTTCACTCATGGGAGCAGCACTGCAGCTGTTAACACATCTGTCAGAAAAGCATACTGTGTTTGTAACGAAGACAGATGCTGTAAAGTGTCAAGGTCAAAGGTCAAGATCAAAGTGTCAAGGTCAAAGATCAAGGTCAAGCAATAGTTTAACTAGTGGATGAACAGATTTGTGTTTTTGACAGGGTGGGTGTAAGTGTACCCACAATTTAAAACACACATCTGGCAAGAAAAGCACTAAAGTGTAAAGATTAAGACAAGTGAGCCTCTTACTTTTCGGTTCAACGTGCACTGGGATCTGCTTCAGTCTCTCCTCCTCTTCCTCCTCCCACTTCTTCTTCAGCCGCTCAGCTTCGGAGCGAAATGAGAAAACAATGTGTCAGAACATGTTTTCACAGTGACCCTGCTCTCCAGCAACCAGCCCCCACAGACCATTTCCATGTGTGCTTGTACAGCACACCTTCATTTCATACATTCCTCATGTGCTTCCTGTGTCCAGTGTGGCTCAGTTCAGTGGGTTTGAGGTGGTACCTTCACGGTCAGGAGAAGACGTTCTGGATTTCAGAGTAGTTTATGTTTGTTTTGTTTGGAGTTTCTTTATCGACTGACATCACCATGACTAAAATGTTGCATAAGGCTCACAGGCTCAGTTATCTTGTTCTCTGTAACCTGCCTCTTCATATCATCACAACATCGCCCAGCTGGTCTCTGAGCTGTATACAACAACCCAGAGATAGACACAGAGCAGAGCAGCTGTCACAAACTCCTCCTCCCTCCTCTTCCTCCTCTTCCTGTCTTATCATTCTTATTGATAACTAGACAGCAAACCTCTGCACGGCAGCTCAGTGTCCTCATAATGACGTTCCACCTAAGAGCAATACTCCCATGATATTGTGAGCCTCATAATATGATTCCTTGAAAATCTACCTGCGGTGTTTGGAATCACATTGAAGTCATTAGCAGGTTGAACATTGTTCAAGAAAAACAATGTTTCACTAATGGCGGTTTTCTTCTAATTTTTGAAGCTACGTTGAATCTGTTGACGCCTGACAGCAGAGTTTCAGCTAGAATTTGATCTTACCTGCATAAAATAAAAATCTTTAAAAACACCTCACACATCTATAGTTTCATTAAAAAAAGTCTCAGTAATTTCCTAAACCAGCTGCCTACTGTAGTTTTGATCAAGCAAACAGGAGGAAACTGTGTTCCACTTCATGATTGTGTCCCACTTGTTGTTGATTCTTCACAAAAAATTACAGTTTTATATCTTTATGTTTGAAGCCTGAAATGTGGCAAAAGGTCGCAAAGTTCAAGGGGGCCGAATACTTTCGCAATGCACTGTATATCCCCATCATCAGACAAACAATCATTGATGACATGACCAAAGTACTTAACTTTGTTGCACACAGTTCACGTTCAAGAGCTGCTGAAGACCTGCTGAGCTGGGACTAAAAATCACAAGGTCGTCTGCATACATTAAATGATTCACAACTTTGTCACCGACCATACATCCCGTTCTGCACATATTTAATTCTTTAGACAGATCATTCATGTAAAAATTAAACAAAATTGGGGAAAGCAGACTACCTTGTCTTACCCCATTACAGGTCTGAAAGGGTGCAGATATACAATTATCCCATCTAACAGACACAGTCTGGTGGGCATACCAATATGACAAACATTTCATGATCTATTTAGGCACTTGGGCATCACACAAATGGAATAATTTCCTATGATTCACTCGGTCAAAAGCTTTGGAGGCATCTAAAAAGCACATGAATACAGTAGAGTTTTTACTTTTATATTTACTAACTAATTCCTTTAGCACAAATATACACATATCAGTGCCATGGTTAGTGTTAAACCCAAATTGGTTTGCAGATAATAAGAGATAATAAGATTGTGAAACTTAGTCAGAAGAAGTTCTTCAGCAATTTTTGAAAGAATATTAGCGAGTGCAATAGGTCTTTAATTATCCGAGCTGCACACCTTCCCTGCTTTATCCCTCACCATAGGAACCAAAAGTACTGACAACAAAGACTCAGGCATAAACTCATGCATAACAGAGGCAGTAAAGCATATGGCTAGAAGAGAAAACAACCTGAAACTAGCATACATAAAATGTTCAACAGAAATGCGGTCCAGCCCAGGTAGCCTTATTTTCAGACAAATTACATATTGCTTGGGAAACTTCATTGGTTTTAAAATATTCAACAAAGTCAACCCCACTCAATGAAAAAGTTTCACTTGGAAACTAATGAATGCACCTTAATTCCACTCAATTTTGCACTTTATCTGCTTTTATTTTTCTCCCATTACTCAATCATCAGTTGACTTCTTTGTGCTGTTTGGCCAACTGTACAGACCCGTTTCTGATGTAAATTACTCAGAGGTTAGTCTTGGGAAGACCAAAGGGGTAAAAAGTATTGTGAGAACATCCATCCATTTTCCTCCGCTTATCCGGGACCGGGTCGCGGGGGCAGCAGTCTAAGCAAAGATGCCCAGACTTCCCTCTCTCCAGACACTTCCTCCAGCTCCTCTGGGGGAATACCGAGGCGTTCCCAGGCCAGCCGAGACACATAGTCCCTCCAGCGTGTCCTGGGTCTTCCCTGGGGCCTCCTCCCGGTGGGACATGCCCGGAACACCTCCCTAGGAAGGCGCGCAGGAGGCATCCGAAACAGATGCCCGAGCCACCTCAGCTGGCTTCTCTCGATGTGGAGGAGCAGCGGACCATCTTTTAGGTTATGATAGCCAGTTTCACTGTGCATCTTAAAATCTAATCACTTTTAGGGTTGGTCCCCACCAATGTCTGTATGCTGATGATCCATTCAACCATTTGTCTGGAATCCTGCTAACCAACATACACACATAAGTGTGTTTTCATTCTTCATGGGGACTTCACAGTGACTTACATTCTTTTTCTAGAGACTTGTCCTAACATTAACCATAACTACTACTTGCCTAACCCTAACGCGTTGTCACCCTAAAATTCAGTGATTTACAAGGACAGAAGAGTCCCCACGGTGTGAGTGTGTTAACAGGTTTTGGTCCCCATGAATAATACCAATGGCACGTGCACACACACACAGAACCAAAAACAACCTTCTTGGCAGAGGTAAAAATAGCTGACACCAAATCACACAGAGTAATAATCACAATTTAGAGTAAATCCTGACCACAATGCTATGCTGTGTGGGTGCTGTACCTGTGAATGTAAGCTGAGCGCCACCTACAGACTTTAGACTGTAACATATGCCATGCTGCAGCACAGATGAAGAACAACCATTGTAAAATTGGCCAATTATCGCGGCAGAGAGTGACACTTTGAATGTCTACATCTGTACTCTTTTAGTGATGTAATTCACTCATTAGTTTAGAGGTAAAATGGGACTACTGACCATGGGCTAAGCGGCAGAGTGTGTGTAGGCAGCACAGCCCTACCATCTTGTAAACATGGATCCACGCAGGGAAGAATGCACAATGGACAGTAGCCCTTCAGGTTCTGCTGGATTATGGGCATGGGGAGATCCAGGTTATGGGTTGTTAAATTCCTGTGGTGGAGAAACACTAAAATGTACTCCTTACTTTTTGCAGCGTATTCTCTGCCTTGTTCATGGTAGCTGTTAGTCCAGTGAAGTAATGGTTTTGGGGGTTGTCACCTGTATATGTGTGACTTTCTGGGCAGATAACTTTCTACTGAGCTATGAAACAATTTGAGACACTCACACTTTTGAAACTACAGCCTGTAACTTTCCACATGCTTTCACCTTCTGCAGCAGTGAAGTGTGAAATTGTTGTGTAAAGACCTGCTGTTTTACTTGAATCAGTTGCTACAGTTGGCAAGTAGTGGCACTTGGCTTCTACTCGATTTCAGTGGGTGACAATAAAGCATGGTGTGAAATTAAAATTCCCAGTGAATTGCCTCTTGTTAAGTTCCATGCACTGAGGAGTTGGCCGCTACAGCCTTAATTGGTCTGGTATGACCAGTAGCCAAAGCTTAGCAAACTGATGCTCCTATGACAATTCTGGGTCATTTCTCTGACTTAATGACTCTTCTCTTGTGCTGTTGTTGCATTTTTAGCCTTTTATCCTGTAATTACAACATGTGGCCACAGTGACTAAGTGATCATTTTTTGATTATGTTTTTTTAAATTTTAAGATTATGTTATTGTATGAGACCACATTTCCCCAGGCAAATTGTTTACTGTTTATTGTTTATTTCCAGTTGATTTCACTAGTTCAATGACATTTCTTGTTACTGCTACAAAATATGTTGTTCTTCAGCAGCTTTATATGCTTTATATCTCATTAAGCACAAGGTACAAGTGATGGCAATAATTGTCATGTTTGAACTTGCTAGTGTTCAAGTCAGTGGAAAGCTCAAGACAGTTATATGATTGAAAAGTAGGTGTGAAATGTTAAAAGAAATATTGTACACAGTCAATATAGCACATTAAGGGCATCTGTTTTACTAGGCAGGCATTAATTTAAGATGTATTTACAAGCTACAGACTTGTTACTATAATTTGGATGTGACTTCAGTATTGCTGTGTTATAATTTATAATCAGTGGTGAAAAATAATTACATTTACTCAAGTACTGTACTTAAGTAAAATTTTGAGGTATCTGCACTTTGAGTATTTTCATTTACTGCTACTTCATATTTCAGCTTCACTACATTTCAGAGAAAAATATTGTGCTTGTGCACACTACATTTAACTTTAGTTACTTTTCAGAAAGAGGTTAATAAAACAAAATTTAGCATAATCACAAAATTTACTGATCCTTGGTATTAAACACATAAGCTACCCAGCAGTAATTCAAGTTGTAAGTATATAAGGTAGTTAAAATTAGCTCAACCTTCACCAACTGCAACATTATGTGATGTACACAATAGTTCATCATTAATTACAATCAAATATTATGTTGTAAATTCATATAAACTGTGCCATTTTGCATAGTGAGTACTTTTACTTTTGATACTTTAAAAGCAGTGGGAAGAAGAACCGTCCGTAGTTTCAAAAGTGGCTCCAGTTGTAGCAGATCTAAGTTCTAATGGGTCCAGCTGTGGGCAGCATCATGTCTAAAAGCCCTTTCAACTTGTTTAGTTTGAACTCAGCACCACTAGCTGACCAGTCCCTGCAGATCCAAGACACTTACCTGGCTTGCAGTCAGCAAACATGTCTCTGATATACAGTATTTTGGGCCTTGACCAAGACTTGTAGACAATGAGTAGGGCCTTTAATCTGAATTCTGTATTTAACTGGAAGCCAGTGCAAAGATCTAAGGACTGGAGGAATGTATTCTTTCTTCAAAATAGAATAAAATTAAAATACAGCTGCAAACTACTAGTAGTAAGTGCTCCAATTATCAGGTAAA